GAGTTTTTGAAGATAAAGAGATGCGAAAGTTTAGAGAAAGGCTTTTCAAAGCGTTTCCCACAGACGGTGCCAAATGATGTAGCGCGATCTGGCCACTCCTAGCTGGCACTCACGTGGCTCCTGGAAGATACCTGAGATGAAGAAAAAGAAGAATCCCCGAGGGGTTTGCCCGGTGGGAATACTCCGATGCTTAAGTTAGTACTCTGTAGGAGAAGCAAAAAGAAGACGAAGGCTAAGAGTGCAGATAGCGCGTTCTCACTATACTCGAGAGATTAGAAGTCTCAAGAAGAAGTTTCTTTTCTACCCTAAGGGCTTTTTTAATGGGGTGCTCATGCTAGGTCGGGCATAACCGCCATTGAGTTCCTACCACAGCCGTTGTGACGTACTTCTCGCCTGGGTGAGTGACACATCTCTAAAGTGGCAGGCACGCCTTTTCTTGCTGAGAGACACGGACACAGACTGCCGAAAGGACGAGGACTGCACCGTCAGTAAGGAATATGGCGCAGTCTGATCGGTACGGCCTATCAGACAGAAGCTTCCTGAGGAGCGCTCATGCGGCTCATTCCCGAGCTACTTTATAGCGGGCTCGGGACACTTAAGGATTACCCTTAATAGAATTGGTCCTTGAGATGACTTGTTTTCTTGGGAGCTCGGGCGAGATAACAACTTTAGCTCGCGCGCTAAAGTTGCCTCGGAGTATCTCTTCAAACTCTAATTTCCACCGGTGACAGTGTTGCCTTTCCCAATCCCAAACTCGAGAGAATGGTGGAAGCATTCCCCGTTCTCAATGGGATTACCCCTACCAAAGGAAGCTATCTTCATTCTCATCATCTTCTTCTTCTTCTTCAGATTTGAACGATCCAAACACAACCAGATGGCAATTTCTCATAATAAATGAGAAATTTCAGATTTTTGCCATCATCTGCCTTGTCAAGTCTACTGGACACAACTAGAGACTCAGAACACCATGACCACAATTCCTGGAATAAACAACGAGATAAGTCATCGAAAATGGATGATTGTTTCAACAGGTTGCCACTGCCGATAGAGAGAGAGTGAGAGTTGCCACCGTTGGTAAAGAGAGAGAAAGAGCCATGGGAGTGGGGTTGTGTCCATCCCGATTAGAGAGAGAGAGATAGAGAGATGAAAAAATAGAAGAAATCAAACCAAGGCTCTGTGCTCAATCGCTCATCGAGTTGGTTGCTGTGTTGAATAGGGTTAGAGAGAAAGAGAGGAGGGGAGCGGAGAGGCCACCCTTGGCTACACATCCCGGTTAGTGTGCGGGCAAGAAATCGCCATCAACACTGAGCTCAGAGCAGACGACTACCTCAGCCCATTCCTAGTCACCGGAGTTCAGGTTTGCAAAAGAGACACCGGTTGGTTGCTTTGTTGAACATGGTTAGTGATGCAAGTGACAGTTCAATTTGCGAGCTAGATTGTTCCAATGGAACCTCAGATTCTTGATTGAGGAAGGCTTTAACCTTTAGAGAGGAATGTTTTTTTTCCTTTAAACAATGTCAGCTTTCTCAGAACACGTGTATGAGTGTTTATGAAGTTCACGACTTGGTGATTACTGAAATACGTACCAGCTTTATTATGGAGTTATTGGGATGATCGATCGAGTTTTGAATTTTGTTTACAGGAATCTGGTAAAGGGCCTAAAGGAACTCTCCGACTTGAGTAGTCCGCCGGAGAGGGCCACCCTTAGCTACACATCCCGGTCAATGTGTGGACAAGAAGTCACCATCAACGCTAAGCTTAGAGTGGATGGCTACCTCAACCCATTCCTATTCATCGGAGAATAGGGGACAGAGAGGGAAGCCACAATCGTTTGGCCAAGATCTTTGGTTGCAAATGTAGAACCTCTCTTTTACGGTGACACCATGTGGGGGCAGAGAAGTGATTTGCATGACGAACAAGCAGAGAATTATAGACATCAAGGTGGTCGTGGTGTTTTGTCATTCAAGAGGTGGTCATGGTGTTCAATCGTAACTGCAATTGCCACTGGTGTTCCAAAAGCGATGGTGAACAATAAAGGGTATTTTAGGAATTTTAAAATAATTAACACTCACATGATGTTACATGTGAACGGAGTGTGATGGAAAATTAATGGCAAGGGAGGTGTTAGACAATTGTCAAAAAACTTAAGGGTAGATTAAGACAATATGTAAACAGTAAGTGTACAATTTGTCAATTTCAGGAACAACAAGGATAGTTTAAGAGATTTACCCTTGTTATTATTATTATTATTATTAAATTTTGTATTGCATTTCTATCATAAATAAAAATAGCTTTTATTTTAACAATTATTTTTATTTAATATGATGAATATATAACATTAGAAATGCTCTCAAATGTTTTCGACAAAATTTTGTATATTTTCATTTTTGGTGCTCTATCTTTTATTAAATATTTACTATTCAATTATGGCATCATGGGTTTCTTAGAAAAGTTGGCTATGAAATTTGATAAAAATTCACAAGAAACTCTTGGCTATGAAATTTACACCAACTTAATAGAAATTTGTAACTTGATTGTACAAGTGGTTGGTCCCTTTAGTTCTTTTATATGGTCTGATTAATATTATATAAGTTCGTAAGAAAAATAAAAAGAAAAGAACGAGAGAGGGAGTGAGAGAAAGACTGAGGGAGAATGATAGAGATTGGGAGAGAAGGAGATATTGATCGAGAGGAAGAGTGAAGGAGAAGAATGAGAGAGAACGATAGGTTGAGAGAGAGAGAGAGAGAGGGAAGAAACAAAAGTTTTGATTTGGCTATAGACCAAAGTTGAGAGAGTGGGAGATACAAAAGGAGTGGCAGATCAAGACATGATTGTGAGAGTGAGAGATACAAAGGGAGTGGCAGATCAAGACATGATTGTGAGAGTGAGAGAGAAGGGAGGGAGATCGAGAGACAAAGGGAGCATGAGAAAAACTGAAAGCCTATTTTAAGTATAGGATTTTTGTTGTGTCCAACATGATTATTAAGAGTCCCAAGTTGGCAACAACCACATAAGCCTCTGATGACATGGTGGGGGTTTTTATAATTTGAAATGTAAAGCCGGTTGTCAAAGTTTTGTTGGTTTTTGTGTCATCCAACCTAATTTTAAATGTGCAACTGGCTTTGACTATAATTTTCCCTTTAAACTATATATTTCATGTACATTATATAAATAATTTTTACTTATTACACTTAATTTTTCTTTTTCTATGATATTGTTTGACCTAAACCACTAACCAACACGTAAAAAGAAAAATAGTTTGATTTTTAGGTAGACATTAAATTTTGTATTACATTTCCATCATTGATAAAATTATTTCTTATGTACAATACTTATTTTTGTTCAATATAATGAATGCATAATATTAGAGATGTAGCCTATATTTTATTTTTTATAAATATATAACATTAGATATGCGCCAAAATTTTTTCCTATTTTTTTTTATTTTTCTGATTCTTTGTATTTTCTATTTTTAAAACTTTTATTATTTGACTATGACATCATTTCATTTCTAGGTAGACTTTAAATTTGCATTCCATTTTCATCATTAATAAAAATACTTCTTACATTTCATACTTATTTATTTTAAATTTTTATTATTTAATTATGACATTATTTATTAATTCAATTAACCCCAAATGGTCGAATTGCTTGCCCACCACCAGAAGGGAAGAAAATGTTTTAGTTTTTAAATTACTTTTCAAAATATTTATTTCTATACTATTAAAATTAATATTGAGGATTTAATTACAATAATTTAATGATGAGAAAAATATATCTCAAATATAGAATTTAATGAGAGAGAATAGGAAAATATTTTTATTTCTAATTGGTTTTAAATTTTACATTCCATTTCCATCATTAATAAAAACATTTCTTATTTATCATACTTATTATTGTTTAATATGTATGTTTAAAATGTTCCCATTTTTTTTAATTTCTATTTTTTTTTCATTTTATCTATTTGTGAATTTTATTATTTAATCATGGCAACATGGATTGGCCCATTTGACCCAAAATGGTTTAATTTCTTACCACCACCTAGATGAAAACACTATTTTTTCTAGGTAGTTTTTTAAAGTATAAACTTTTATGTTATTGAAATTATTAATTTATTAAGTATGGATTTTATTAATTTAACTTAATGATGAGAAGAAACAAAAATGACTTAAATATATGATTCAGTGAATATGAATGCAACTTAATAACTTAAATGTTGGATTTAATGAGAAGGAATTGAATGCTTGAATATCTTAAAATTACCTATTTTCAATTCATTTAATATCAATAACCAATTATCCTATTTGCCCTTATTTTTATCAATAAATTTAAATATAGAGGGGTAAATTTTATCATAAAAAAATTTCAGAAATATTTTTGAAACCATTCGTGCACTTTAAAGTAGTATAGATAAGTCGATAATACTTTCATATAGAGTAGTTAATATAAAATTAATTTTGGAGTGAATTAATAACATGAACATGCCAAATTAATTGATTTGTTTACTTTAATATTATTAGTCATCTAAATCTTATATTAATATTTAAATTTAACTTTTGCACTTAAATCAAATTTGTCATATAATAAATAGAAGTATAGAACATTGAATTAATACCAAATTAAATGAAGAGATAATTAATAGGCATTTCAATCAATGACAATTTCACAAAAAATTAATGGCAATTGATATAGTGAAAATTATAAAATGCAGAAAATTTAGAGGGGTTTGATAGAGTAAAGAGGGTTAATAGGGGTTTGAATTGATTTGGAACTTGGAAGAGCTAAAACCGATTCGGACTCAATTATAATCGGGGCACATCAGACCAGGGTCGTCGGGTCTGCCCGGCCCATCGATAGCCCTAATTGCAAGGCTGATGTTTTTAGAAAATAAATGTTAGTTAGAGGAGGTTTTTGTAATTATGTGATAGTTGGAGGGGACGAGGGGAGGTTTGAATAAGTTTTCCAAAACCAAAAGGTATAAACGGGTGTAGGTCGTAATCATTCATACTTAACCCTGAATCTGTTCCTTCTAGGGTTCGGTACTTTGGCGGGAAGACAGAACAGGTTGAAACTATTCAGTTACAGGCGAGGATTTAGAGGTCCTCCGATGTCGTTCATGGAAGATTTTCAAGCCAGTGAGTTCCTTTCATATATCTCTATGATTATCTTTACGAAGACTGCTTTTTCTGTTTTCAGCCGTCGTCGTTGGAAGGAACCTAATCCAGTCGCCATTCGCTATTAATTTCCTCGAATTAAGATGAAAACAATCTTATTGGGACCCTTTTTCACTTAATTCATTAGAAATTCGCTTAATCAAGATAGTTGGAATCATGGCTTGATTAATTTAAAATGTCCTGACACGAGATGGTTGTTTAGGCTAGTAGGTTAGGTTTCTTATGCTTTAGAATGTTCTGGAACAAGAGATGCCCATGAAAATGTATGCTCATTTGGCTTGTTTAGGTTAGGTTTATGGTACTTTTGTGATGAGAGGAATGTTTTTAACATCATTGAGATTTATTTCGTTGTTCTTTATATAAAATCTGTGCAGTGGAGGTAGGTGAATGTATATTAGACAAGAAGGTGGTTAGCTGATTTGGCCTGAAGTTGAGTTTTGAAACGGAGGTCTACATTATCAAGTATCAACCCTCAGAGACTTTATCCGGGATACTAGAATTGTTGAGTCGAACGAGGCCAAGGAAGAAAATAAATGAATAAATGGATGACTTTGTATCAGATACTGCAGCCATTTGATTATGAATTGAAATTAACTAATTGGACAAGAAATCCGAGGAAATAAAAATGAAATTTCTGAAATAGCTTATTAGGAGTTTGCTTTGGGTGGATAAATGGTGTCTGTCTGTTCATTTTTTATGGGAAGTTAAGGGAAGCTTCCTGACGTGTGTTGCTTTTTTCTTTAAAAATCTTGATGGATCATATACTCTTAGTTATTGTGTCTTGAAATGAATGATGGTTTCAAGTTACTGTGATATGATGTGGCTCTCTGGAATTTGATTGTTGTTATTTATTAGTTTATATTTTGTTCAGGCCTAGAGTCACTGCCAACTATGCTGCAACGCCAATATTCATTGATGCGTAATTTAGATAAAAGCTTACAAGGTATGTTTTGTATCGACAGTACTTTGAATCACTATTTTATTGTTTTCACTTTTAGTTTTATTTAATATACTTCTTACTAAAGGAAAATATTATTTATGTTAATCTTTAAGAGTTTGGAAAGAAAGAAAAAAAAAAGTCATATTTAGAAGATTTGGCAATATTTGGTTTCTACTTCTGTTAACTTGGGTTTCCTCTCTAATGTGCACCTGAGTAAATCCAAAGTCCATTAATGTAAGCCTCCAGCAATTTTCCCAGCTCAAGTGGGGCTGATTTTCTGAGTGGGAGATTTTCTCAGAAAAATTGGGTTCAACCCAAGCCTAGCTTGGGTTGGCATCAAAAATGACTTTTCAGGTCCAGGCCCAGCCCAAAGCCCGAAAGTACAGGCCCAACCTGTAAATCTGGCATCACTTTATGCATGGTTTCATATTTATATGTTTGTTTATAGTTTATTTTTCTTATTGTTAACAAATTAGTATTTTTTTTAATGTGTTCAAAAGAATATTTACAAGTACAATATGTAAGGCATCCCTTAAATATGCAGTATGCTAGTTTAAACTACCTACCTTGAGTTACAATCTTTTACAGTTAGTTCCCCAGTGGAAACACCCCCCATAAATAACTTAGCCCTATTTACCTACTAGCACATTTAGCTTTCCAATGAAATGTTACATTCAGTTCAGCTGTCAATTTTCTGATTTCCACATTAGATATCTATATTTCCATGTTCTCACTGTATTATTTCTAAACAAGCCTACCACTACTTTGGAGTCACAGCCACCATAATATTCTGTAAATAAGGTTTTGATTCCGTTTTAGTCCTTGTAGAACCACCAAAAGTTCTGCCCTTGTGGGGTCTTTATGTCAAATCCGACTTAGGCTGAAGTTTCTAAACTGAAAGATTTATTGCTTTGTCTTTTTTGATGAATTTATTGCTCTATTGCTTTGTCTTTTAGTCAGTAAAATAATTGAATAATAAAATTTTAATGGGTATGGTGGTCTACCCAATTTCCATTTCAGCCATTAAGGATCCACTACCTCCTTAAAAACTTTATTCGCTAACAGACAAAGTGTTAAGCTTTTCAGATGAGCATCTTCAGCTGTTATCAAATGGCCCCTTTGAAAAAGAGCAACTGTAGCTCCATTAAAGCTCCTAACAACTCCCCCAAACCTAGAGTTCCCAGGATTCCTCAATCTGTGAATGTCAAAATTCATCTTGACAACCAATTGCTCTGTAATGTATCATTATTTTATTTTAATGAATGCTTTTCTTTATCTTTCAAAAAAAATCTTGATAAAAATAGGAAGCATCCACAAATGGGTACTCTTTTCCTCATTGTAGAAGATGTAGCAGTTTGCATCAGTACTTCATTAGTTTGGCTCTTGTCTTTAAACATCCTTGCATTTTGTTCTTACAAACTGTCCATATGATAGTGGCTCTTGTACATCCCCGCAAAATTTTACTCATTTTCTTTGGTAGAGAAAAATGAAGTTTGGTATAAGCTTGCCAAATCCACTAGGGGATTCCACTTGCAACCAAATAGTAGAAAGAAAAAAAAATCCCAAATACTAGAAACAGACAAACAAGAGATTAATAAGAGAACAAATACACCAAGTATAGGAATTTGAAGAAAGAAGCATATATAAGAGAACAAACCTGAGTCACTGGCTGTCCATATTGTGCAGTCGCTATGAGAGAAAACACACAATCCCTTAACTGGTAAACCATCCCCCAACCCAAAAGTCAAGGTTCTAAGATAATCCCTGATATAAACACAATGAGATAACAATGCCTCTTTATTGGAGATCAAGGAGAAGAGACATTGAGGAACCTGAATTACTGGTTCTCCAAATTTTGCAATCACTATGAGTGGCATCTAGAGAGAAAGCACACAGAGAAGTCAATAAGGGAACGGACAATAGAGATATTGTTTCCCCTTAACCCTCCTAAAATCAAGGTTCCAAGATAACTCGTGATTACTCATAGAAATACAATGATATACCAATGCCTCTCTATCGGAGGTTAAGGAGAAGAGGCTAAACTTGTGTCCCACCCATTGGCTGCAAGGCCATGTATACTCTTCATCATAACATGCTATAGCCCGTCTGACTCCACTAAGAACTTCCACAACCACTTCCCCTAAGAGGGCTATATTCCTAAGCATAAGTTTCCCAAGTCCTATACCCCCTTCATTGATTCATCCTTTTATAGTCACCCATGTTTGTTTATATATTTTACTTCTCTCTTCTGCTGGATTAGGTTTTTTTCTTTTTGAGGAAAACTGTGTTTTCTTGCTAATGTGAACAGAGATCCAGCGGCAAAATGAACAACGGTGTGAACAAGAAATAGAGGATATCAAGCGGGGAGTTAAGTCTGGTAATATCACACCAGATGCCTCACTTATCAGATTTTCAGATTATGCTCTTGAAGAACAGAAGCACTGCATTAGGATTGCTGATGAAAAGGTTGCCTTGGCCATCCAGGCCTATGATTTGGTAATTAAAGTTGCTATTCCATGTTTACACGTGTTTAGTTTTCATCTTCATGGTTGTATAATGTGATTCCTTGTTTATGTGTTTTGCCTGAGTCAAATATATATATATATATATATATATATATATGTTTTAAAACGCGGAGGCTTGAGGCATAGTTCAGAACGTAAGAGGAAGGACGATATCATTTTTCTTTATTTTTAATAAAAATCGTTTATATTAAGAAGAATGAAGATGCATAGCACTAGTTGAAGGGGGGGGGGAGAGGTCTGGGTGCTCCGCCCCATCCCATCCCTTCTCTTTCCTTTTCTTTTCTTTCTTTTTTTGTTTTCTTTTTTTCTTCTCTTTCTTTCATTTTCTTTCCCTTCCCTTTTTTTCTTTTTTCTGGTGGTATTTTGGCTAGGTTGTTTTGGAGTTTGCATGGTGCTTCTAGTAGGGATTTTGTTCTTCTCTAGGTTGCATTGGTAGACATTAACGAAGCTTGGGATGCTTTCTTCCTACCAACTAACAATAAGTTTTGGTTTTGGATGTTGCTTGGAGACTTTGAGCCAAGGATCATGCTCAGGGTGTTGGATTGGCAGGATGTGCTGTCGTTTTTTTGCTGCTTCTCTTGGCATTGTTTTTCTCATTTTTTTGGGATGTTGTTTGGATATTCATCATGCACATATACTTTCTTGGTTATTAGAGAAAGAATCTTCTATGGCTATTCATTTTTTATCAATGCATGCATACATTCATCTACTAACAGCATTTTCTATATCTACTTTAAGTTTGTCAGGCACCTGGTTGTGTCAGGTGCCTGACACAATCATTGGACTCAACAGGAAATTTTAAATTTTTCTGCTAAAGTTGTTTCTAAAGATTGTATAATTCTAAATTAACCTTTTCTTTTATCTTCTTTGGTGGCAATAATTTGCAATCTTGCCATAGGTGGATGCACACATTCAACAACTTGATCAATATTTGAAGAGATTTGATGAAGAACTTCGACGAGGTACTTCCTGCATTTAGCTTGGTAGATTCTCATCAAGTTGCATACTTAATCAGTGTTATGCCTGGCTGAACGTTTCTTTGGATAAAGAACAAGTCTAGGTTGTTTACATAGATTTATTCCCATGATCCTTTTCTCCTTGTGTTATGGCAATTTGGCTCTTACAGAAAGGGATCTAGCTTCTGCTGGTGGGGTAACTGCTCCAAACCTCGATATTAGTGTGAAATCTGGAAGGGGAAGTGAAAGTAGCAAAAGGGGGCGTAAAAAGTATTTACCTATCTCTACTTTACTGTTTAACTGTTTTACATCATTACTGATTGTTTAAATAAGTCAGTTATGTTATAGCTTCTTAATCCTTTGTTCAACTTACAGTTCTTGTCATCCTTTTGGGAACACATCTCAGAAGATTAGGAGTAATCCGTAGAAGATCTTGAAATTAAAATTGCATGTTTGTTCTCATTATCAAGTTATTTGACTAGATCTGGAAGTAGGTTTGAAACTGTTTGTTGTCATATTAGGTAAGCTTATTTTTTATGAATATAAAACAACCATGAAGACAACCATCTTTAGAATTGGCAATAACAATGCTGTCCAAAACATATTGCTATTAAGGGATTTCTTTTCTCCCAATGCCCTGTGAATGAAAAGAAACTTGTGTATCCATAATCCACTGGCCATATTTTCTCTTGATTTTTCGTTATGGAGGTGGTTGGTAAGTTCATTAGGTAAACTCTCTGCTCAGTTAAGGCTTTCAGGCTCAAGCCTGGTTAGTCATTTTGTAAACTGAGAGCCAAAAGTGGAGTTAGAGGCTTGGGCATCATTTGTCTAACAAACTTAAATAAAATTGAGTGCTGGTTTTTTCTTGTCACCTTTGGTTGTAAAGAGGAGGCAGATGAGGTTCTGAGTTGGGAATCAAAAGAGGGTTCCAAACCTACCTTTGGATCGTTGAAACCCTTTTGTTGGATCCTTAAGCAATATCAGTGGAAACCAGCTGGTTTGGATAGATGTTTATGGTATTTTGCTTCATGTGGTGCTTACAGACTTTGAAATTGATTGATTGGAAATGTGTGTGGTGTATTTAGAAAGATAGATCACCACACTAGGACATGGAAAAATCTGGTGGCAGAGAGAATTCTTGTTGAGGAGCAATCATTATATCAAATTGCAGACTTGATAAATCTTCTCTATGTGGGTGAATGGTACGGGCTCAGAGTTATTGTAGGTGAAATCCCTCTTAGATGGACAAGGGGTGCGGCATCAGGATGTTGAAACAGTTTCAGGGGAGTAGAAGATGAAAAGTTGGGACAATGAAGGTGGTTCAGACTTCAGAGGTTGAAGACAAGGGTATTTTTGGAATTTTATATCTTTGTGTTGATGGAAGGTTGGGGATTTTAAATAACCTTGGGGGACACAGGGAGGTAGGAGTTGATTCAAGTAAAGATTTGGAGTTTGTTGAGTTGGAATGTATGCCGATGGGGGTAAGAATGTAATAGAAGATTTTGAGTGTGGGTTGTTTGATCGGTATGAATGTGATTGCCCTTTCTGCACCTCAAATTATGAGACAGCTGATCACCTTTTCTAAACTGCTCTAAAGAAGACTCGTTTGGGCTCATATTCTGGGTAACCTTCACCTTATCTGGTTTTTTCCACATTCTACCTCTGCTTTCTTGGAGAGCTGGCACTTAGAAGGCTTGTCCAGCAATGGGAAGACCCTTTGGTACATGATTCCAGCTGCTATAATGTGGATTATTTGGATAGAAAGGAACAACAGGGTGTTTGAGAACAAGGTTTTTGTAGTTAGTTTACACTCTGAAATTCTATGAATCTGTGATTTTCATATAGATTACCATACCAATTATCAGACTTTTATAGTCAAACATTGGGAGTTTTTCCCTCCCATTTTTTAGAAATACAAATGTACTTTACCTTTTACTTGAAAAAAAGAAAAATAAAAAAGAATTGATGGTTGAAAATTCTGGATGCACAAGTTTTTGTGTGTCCAGTGTATCAATACTTTGAACCATGGCAGTAGTGGCCCTTCAGTTTTGCCTGTCAAGGAGTTCTTAGTGCTTTCTTGTTGTTTTGTTGGAAGATGCATTGTGTACCTTGTTCATGTTCTCTAAATTTCATTGTGTGCAGAACACGCTTAGCATCAGCTGCAGCAGCAGAACCACCAAGTATGGATTTAGATTTGCCTGTGGATCCAAATGAACCCACATACTGTTCCTGCAACCAAGTTAGCTATGGAGAGATGGTTGCATGTGATAATCCAGATGTGTGTATTTGATTTCTTTGATGATTTTGATTTAGTTGCTGGGAACTTAACCTGATTCTGGCCTTCTTCCCTTTTGACAGTGTAAGATAGAATGGTTTCATTATGGCTGTGTTGGTCTCAAAGAACAACCAAAAGGGAAGTGGTACTGCTCAGACTGTGCAGCGTTACAAAAGCGTCGGAAAGGAAAATGAATAGCACATATTTTCTGGTAAGTTATGACACAGAGTTCTTTTCTAACGTTGGCATGTTTGCTTACTAATTCCTTCATATGCTAAAACAAACTTTGTTAATTAAAAGGATGTAGGAGCTCTGTTTGCAGATCATGTCTTCCAAGTTCCACAAGGAAATGGAGTTTCTGTTGCTGCTAATCTAGTTCTGGTATTTTTCATATTCTAAGATTTTGTGGAAGGTGGAGGTCCTAAGCTGATTGTGAGAATTAAAGATCATGAGAATAATCTCTGCAGTTTGCAGTATGGCTTCCGCCAATGAATCATGTTCTGGGTGTTTCCTGTATTTGTCATGGGCAGAGTACACCAAGGAACTGAAGATGATCTATTCTGGGTTGGTTTTATAACAAATTCAGTCATTAGCGACAAAAGAGGAAGCCAGACCCCCCCCATAATGACCTTGGATTGTGGTATTAGGATTTCAACTTTCAACAAACCGTCCCTTGTGCAGGGAAGTTAGCATTTTAGGTTTAATGCCAATTTTCAGGCTCCTCACAAGCATTGCGGCATTATCCAGTCCTGGTTTTACTTGGACACCACTCTGACGTCTTTAATTTGCATATTGAGACTGATACTTTGTAGCATTGAGATTTGAGAGTCCAAGCAGAGCTGTTCAAGCCAGAGAAGCCATTTCATGTCTGCCTTGTATAATCTTTAGAATAATGTAATAGCAACAATAAACATATGGGCTACTTGAAGATGTGAATCCTAAGTCTCAACCCAGAGGTTTGTTTGATGACTCCATTTTGAATGTGATTCAGCACTCATGGCCTGAAACCATGTAATTTGGTAGTTTCAATTTAGGAGCGATAAACATTTCCTTTGTGGTTTCAATCTAGGCTTAAATGATTTTCCTTTGGGGGGAATGCGAATTGTTTTTCCTTTGGGGGGAATCTAGGCTTAAAACCATTTGGTTTGAAATAGATTGTTTCTCAAAGCAAAAACGCAAAATAATATTTCTTGAATTCCTTGTTTCAAAAAAGTTATTTAATATCATATTCCAATAAATATATAATTTATACACTACAAAATTTGTTTTTATTTGAAAAACCATTATTTTAATGGTTTCAAAAACATCATGTTTTTGCTTTTTGTTGCTGTAGCAATTTCAAAAACAAATGAAAACAAAAGTATTTATATTGTAGAACACCCCCTTGGGGGTGTGATTGCTATTCTTGTTGGTACTTCCAAAAAATAAAACAAAACTAATTGGTTTGAAAACATATTGATTCTTCAAATATACACGGAAAACATGTACTTAGACATGTATGTGTTATTTGTTTCCAAAAATGAAACAAAAAATGTCTTCTTGAATTCCTGGTTTAAGTAACATGTTTTCATGTGGTTATTTAATATCATGTTCGATTAGTCCTAATTTTTAAACTGCAAAACTTGTTTTTGTTTTAAAAATATTATTTTGATTAAGGTTTAAAATTTCGTCACGTATCGGTTGATATGTATCACTTCGGTAGGTTTTTGGCACGGTACACGGTATCAAATTGAGTGTCGTATCAAAGCCGTATTGTAACCGTATCGTGAAGTCTCGAAGCGTTTTGGCACCGCATCAGCCAATACGGTAGTGTATTGATCAATACAGTACGAATTTACTGTGGTGGAAACGCAAATAAAACTCCCTTCGAAAGAGGGCTTTTAAACCCATTTCAGAAGCCCTCTTTCTTCTCTAAACTCTCCAAAAAGCTAACCTTTTTAAAGAATCAAATCTTGTAAAAATTTGCCAAAACATCTATAAATTTGCAAGATTCAATAAGTTTTTCAAGCTTCTTCCTCTCAAGGAAGGTTATGCCTCCTTGTGTTCGAGAGGCTTATGCCTCTTGCATTCTGAACTATGCTTCACGTCTCTAGGTAATGGAATGCCTCTATGTTTTAAAACATTGATATTTATTTATTTATTTTTAGAATAAAATATGTAAAATAATTATTTCATCTATTATGTCCATAAATTCATTCAATTTTTTGTTACATATTTACTTTTCTTAATTTTAATTTAATTTTTAGAATAAAACATGCAAAATAATTATTTGAATAAAAATAAATAATTATTTAGTTTTTAGAAAATTAGAATTAAAAATGCAAAATAATTACTTGATCTATTATGTCCATAATTGGATAGTATGTTTCTATTCCCGACTTCCCGTTTATTGATTATAATATGTTTTTTTTTTCATAAAATCCACTAACACGTGTTATTTTTATGCATAAATAGCTCATTTATGTCTTATATTTAGTGATATTGTTGTTAATTTATGATTTATTAGAGTATTTATAGCATTTCCATGTGTTTCCATGCATATCTTAATTTTTTGTCCGTATCCATGTGTATCCAAGGTGTATCCTGATACGTCTCTTAAATTTGCCTTTCCGATATGCATAGAGTTTCCGATACTTTTAACCTTGGTTCAAATATCGATACGCCGGTAGGGGCGTATCAGGCAAATCGATACTCATTTTTATGTTTTTTTTTTTAATTTTTTTTGCAACCGGTTCAAGGGGCCAGTTTAGGTCTCCTCCATCCCCTGAACTGGTCAGACCCTCGATACACCCATTGTAGGGGCATAACAGAGGGGTCCCAGAATGATACGTATCGACCGATACTTTGAACCTTGATTTTGATGATTTCAAAAACATAAATAAAACGAACTTGTTTTTAGGTCTCAAAAGTCAAATCAAAAGATAGTTCAAATGGGTGTTTGTGTTTGTTTCAAGGTTCTAAATATGGGCATATCGGGTGGTATCGATACTGTTTTTTGTGCTTTTTATTTTTTTTTTCAAAACCGGTTTGGGGTGCATCCAATACACGTATCGGCCAACACGGACCGATGTATCAATTTTTTGAACCTTGGTTTGTTTTTCTTTTCATGACATGGCATTTCAAAAACAAAAACAATATTGAACACCCCTCACTGACTAAAGAATGCAAGGATCGACCATGAAATCCTATAACTGGTCCTGGAGCAGCACAAGTGCACAACTTTTAATGGCAGAGGGAATTGACATTAACAATTAATCACGGCCCTCACAAGAAAGCACTTCAGAACTGGGACCTGAAATTGTGGATATGGTCCAGGGTCACTGAGACTAAGCATGGGTAAAAGATCCTTTTATTTCATTGTATTTAGATTAAATTATAGATTGTCACCCCATGCACCTCGGGGTAGTGACATTTAACCTCCAGAACTTTCATTTGTGACAGAGACGCCTTGAACTTTGAGATTCCAATTCTTTGCCCCCTGTAAACATTGTCAGCTAACATGAAAAAAGATTCTCATATAACGCGAGCTGGTTAAATATCTCTAAATTACCAAATTACCCTTTCCTTAATTTAGGGGACCATTTTTTCCCTTTTCTATATATTTGTACGAGTTCTTTACCTTTCTTTTTTTTTTTTTTTAATTCGAGTGTCACTACCCCAAACTACAAGGTATAATTTATCCTTGTATTTAATGCAAAAAATGAGATTATATTTTCCATCAATGAAGCACAAGCACAAAACGAAGTTGAAGAACCTGGCCTCATCTCTAATAGTATTAGATGAAAACCCTAACATAACCAATACAATGACACTGAAGTTTGGATAGTAGACTCTAAATATGTATGAATTTGATTCTGTTCAGAAAAAGAGAGCCTCAAGTTCATGGGACCTTTTGATATATATACCAAATCATAAAAAATACAAATACAGATGCAGATTCGTTCATAAAGATTCTAGCATAGGGGTATATAATATTACATACAAAAGAAAGAAAAAAATGATAAATAGAACAAAATTTAGGTGGTGCCGTGTAGTTAATAATGCAAGGCACCATGTTACACTAGAACAGCTGGAATGGTTGGTAAATACTGGTTGGGTTTGTGATGTATCTAAAGTTTATTCCCTTGTGGAGTTTTACTTCTTGGAGCTATCCTGATTCATCAACAACAACGCTATTAATACTCTGCCTAGCAGAAAGCACCCTGTCCAGGGTTTGGTCTGGGACAGTGATTCCTGTTGTCTCCATGTCTGCAACGATTGCAATGGCTGCATCAAGCTCACCGATGTCAAGACATAGAGAGATTATCTCATCGTACAGGGGACTGCAGACAAAACAGAAAGGGGAGCAAATATTAGTATCATGTGAGACTGCGCAAAGACAGGCTTGGCCTCAGATGACCTCATTGTTGCTTTTTATGGTGGAAAAACCAAGAAAATGCAACAATCACAACATATTATGACCTGATATCAAGCGGTTCAAGATCTATTTCTAGGCATTCTTTCAATCTTTTAAGTGAATGATCAATTTACAAGCACTGTATTTAATTACTGGACACTGACAAAGATTTCAGATTTCATTTTTCTGCCTAAATTCAGTTAACCATAAAATCAACTAATTTGTATATCCTCTATTCTCTATGCATGGTAAAAAATGAAAGCTTTTATATTATTCCTAATGCTTTATTTGCAAATTCAAAGTTACACAAAACATCTAGACATTTCATTAAACACATGGAACAAGGGATGCAATTTTGAAATCCTAAAAGTGATGGAAAATTCCCCTAATCACTAGCCAAATACACAAATGTGTTTCAGGTAAGGGCAATTTTTCAAGAAGAATTGTAACTATGCTATATTCTATCTGTAAACAGAAAAGCCATATCAAGTGAAGCTAATTTCATAGTTTTTTTTTTGTTCTCAGGAATTCTGCCAATTTTATTTTTTACTCGGACTTTTTGAAAAATCTTCAAGACTAAAGGAAATGGAAAATTCCCCTAATCACTAGCCAAGACATTTGAAAAATTGTCTATATTCTACTGAGAAGCAAGAAACTTGATTATACCTCCCAAAGATGTAACCAAGGCTGTGTGTTGTCCGCAATATTTTCAAGAAAGCTGAAGGGAGTGGAGCTTTTATGGCTGCACGCAATATCATTGCACAGTCCCCAATAGTTGGTGTTCCACCCAATTCGATCACCTGTGATGTTGTAAAGTGCCACTATTTAGTTTGGAACATATAATGAAAATTAATGTTTTACTATGCTAAATTGTGAACACTAGCCTCTTAAACATGGAAGCTCAAATAGGTAGTTTAATGATTAGACTTGAGGTGTGTAGGTAAAAGAAAATTGATACTCTTAATTGATGTTTTATGTGCTATTTAATGATACTGGCTTAAGGATGTGCATCCAAAAAAAATTCAATAGGATTTCTAGGGTCCCTGTAGGTAGTGAGGTGTGCAAGTACTTAAGAAAACTGGAAGAGGAGTTCTACATTAGAATATTACAATCCCTTTCTCTGTTGAGAAACCCCAAATCTAACATAGACCTGTTTTTAATACAATGGATATTCTCCCCACATCAGATTCTGTCTTCCTGCTATACCTCAAAAGCCAGAGAATACCTGATGAGTGCCGCTCCTGACACCAGATTCTGTCTTCCTACTACTTCACAAGACAGAGGATCTGCCAATGAGTTGGTTGATCAAAGGATCCAGAGGATTCTGCTTATCACTTGTTGCAAAGGTGTCTTGCTTCTCCAATCTGATGTCTGAGATTCCAGGGTCCATCCATTTCTCACTTAAACCAGCTAATAATTGATTTTGTATCTTCTTCTATCAGCAGTCTTGAGAACCCAGATGTGTTGGCCAATCTCAGTCTTTGAAGAGTCATGTAACTCAGCCTTTATAGAATTCCCAACACCAACCGGACCTGGGAAAGCTAATATACCCTCCCCTATATGGTTCCTGAAAACACCACCATACCTGACTACCCTGGGGTTCCCAATACTGCACCCATCAAAATGCATCTTAATTCTGCCTATTAGGGGAGAGCTCCACGTCATGATAAATCGGTTACATATGGAGGAAGATACTGACAGTCTGCCACTATGGGACCATCCTCTTAGGATATCATTCAGCTGAAAAGTAGAACTTTTTTCTTGTCTTCATTGACTAATACCGATCAAACCATTGCTTCCTTGTACTGATGTTTATCTTGGAAAATTCTCATGTTTCCTTCCTCCCAAATGGCACTCCATAAAATGGCAGCTCTTGTGCACCTTCACAAGACCTTCCTCTTTTCTTCCCTAGAATGATAATGCTAGGTTGAAACAAAGTGACAGCATCTTACTTGGGGGGGAGGCATCAAACAAAGCCAACAAAAAAAGTTCACAAATACATTACCAAGTAACAGGAAATTAGTAAATGATAGGTGGTTTCACAACTTGCCTTATAAAGGAAGCCATATTGCCTAAATGGCAGATGAAAGAACCAGAAAAGAGGGGATGGAAATGGATGGCTTGCAATGGGGCAAGGCTGTTGCATGAGGTTTTCTCATGGATATTGGAAGGTGGATGGTATGACCGGTCCCTAAATTCTGATTTTTTTAAGGATTGCAAATAGAGGAAATGTTTTTGTCAGTCTTGTCAGAAGGAGGACATGCCCTCAATATTGCCTTTATATGTTACTTCCCTTTCTTTATTAGCATGTGTTTTCTCCATTAAAAAAATAAAAGGTTATATAAGTAAATGGAGTGCCAATGTTTTGTGTTGTTCTCATGTATAACATATTGGAATAAATAGGACCTAAGAATTGCATTATTTATTTTTTTCTTTGCTTATACTATTAAATCTCCTTCAAGCCCCAACAAATAGAAAATGGAATAGATACCACCCCCACCCCAAAGGTACAGGAAAATGTATCAAGCAATTATGAAGAGGTAGTACAGGAACTTGAGTATATTTTATTGTAGGTATAGAAAAAACAGAATGATGAAGAGGAGAATAATATGACAACTTCGTTTGAGGTAAGCTGTTATCTATTCTTGGACATTTGAGGAGTTCTCTTGGCGAGTTGAAGGAAGGTTGACAGGTGGTGGTGAGTTAGTTGAGGGATGGAAGGGCTGATCCTTGGTATTGTCATCACACTTTGAGGGAGCCTAGACCTTTAGTAGCTTGTGAAGAACATTTGGTTCAACCAGGTCCAGAGATCAGAAAATCAGCTAGGATTTGTTGAGCACCAGTTTATCCTATCTTGTATCAGTGATGTCTCATCACCAGAGTTTGAACTTGTTCTTTTTTAGTGACATAAATTTTTTACTTTATCATGTAAAAAAAAATTGTTAACTAGAAATGGGGTACACTTAGGGATGCAACTTGGGCCATGCTAGCCCAAACTCAGCCAGAAAAAGTTGGGAAGGGATGTAGGGTTGGGTCAGGTTGATGATTGGCTTAGAGTTAGGGTTGACTTTTGCCAGCCTGTGTTCACTTTGGTCTGGTTAAGGTTGACCCCTTGGGCAACCTGACTCTACTACTACTAATGTACATATGTATTATGTACATATTTTGATTTTTTTTTTCATTTATTTATAGTTACTTGTCTATTTTGTTTATTTTGTTTTCTTCTAATTTTATTTCCCATATATGTTACTGTGGCTAGTGTATGATGTATCAAATTATTGGTCTGATCTTGTTAGTTGTCATTAGTGATTTCCATTCCATAATTTTATGTTTTATTATTGCTGATTTCATAATTTTATATTTTTAATAGAAGATCTATTATAATATATAATAGATTCTAATCATTTGAAATATTCCTTTTTTCACTTTCGTATAAAAGAACCAATAAAAATATATGGTCATGAAAGAGAATTTGAGAGATTTTATGAAATTTTAAGAGGATGGGAGAAAGATCTGGCTGGACAAAATCCAACCCAAAGTCAACTTCAGGTTGGGTTAGGGTTGAGGGATTTTAGGTTGGATTAGGGTTAGGGTTAGGGTTGGGCTAGGGTTGGCCTCAATCAAACTTGTACCCCTAACCCTAGGTACACTGGAGAGAGTTGTATTTGGGCCCAGTCCTTCCTGAGCAGAGGGTTTCTTTGGGTGTATAGGAGACATTTTCATTTTTTCCTTTTCCTTTTCTTTTTTTGATATGGTAGGTAATGAGTGATTTCATTAATTATACAGAAATAAAGATTACAAATCTTTGCAAAGAGCAAGCACCTAACTTAATATACCTACAGTCCTAATACATGAGGATATATAGTAGTTGCAAGAATACTAAACAGAAAAGCACCAAACAAAAGAAAAAAAATAAAACTTCCAATATCTCAATACCTCTTCCATTGCATCTCAATGTCCATAAGGTGCAGCATATTCAGCTGTTTTAGAACCAATCTCCAGTCCAGAATGAGTGAGCAAATATCTACAAATTCTGGAGTGGCCATCACTTGTTTTACAAATTTAATAAAAGTTTAATTTGTAGATAAATAAAACCTTGTTCTAAAAATTCTTCCATTTTTGTAAAAAATTGTTATACAGGTGTTCGAATATCAGCAGGTCCCCCCTTTGTGTGCCTGTCCTGTTTCTGGAAGCTTTTATGGGGTATCAGTACCTTTCTCTCCTATGCATTAATAAATGCATTTATCTTTGTTACCAATCAAAGATGGGGAACTTTTATCAGGAATGTCAAAATAACTGGAAAACGGAAGCTTTTGCTTTATACATAATGCAATTCAGTATAAGCTCCCCTTTATCAATGAAGTTAGGAATGTTCCAAAAATCTTATAGCAAAATGCACTCACATCCGTTAAAAGGTACCAATTCTTACAGTAAAAGAAGCCCATAACATACAAAAAATTCATATTGAAGCAAAAGAATCTGACAGGCACCGATTCTGGAGTTTTCAGATGACATGAAGACTTTTAAGACCCATGAGAGAGACATTGGTCACTTTTAAGTTACAACTTAAATTTCCCTTCAAGTTTGTGGTAGAGCAGTAGAAGGGTCAATATAATATGTTAAGATATAGAGCCACTAATTTTTTTCCTATTCAGACCATGGATAAGGGGGGAATTTGAAATATAAAAATTTGTAAACAATTATAAGGCCATTAATAAGGTTTGATTTTGAGAGATGAATTAAAAAAAAAAGGAAAACAAATACAAGTTTAGGAGAACCACATTATGGGAAAATAAGCAAGAGAAAACATGAAGAACATTGAATAAGAAAAGTAATAGAGAAGAAAATATAAACCAAAAACAGAGTATATCTATGCAGCTGGAGAAATATAAAGCACCAGGCAAAAGAGGATAAGAGCATGCCTTCTGCATTACTTTCATTGCCAACTCAACTTCCCATTCTTGTGACCATCTTCGAGGGGGTCTTTTCTTTAGTTCTCTCTCCCATGTCCAACCCCAAGCATCAGCAATGGTATACATGTCCTGTACATCAAAGATCTTTCTTTCACGCATCACCTTGAGTGCTTCATGAATATCCTCAGGAAACCAGTCATCATCATCATCATCCTGCATACATATAAAACAAACACCAGCTTTTGTGAACAAAAAGATGAGCTCAGGTTTTGAAAAAAGCCTGAACAAGAATAGCATGCTTCAAATCGGCCTCTATATTATAGAGTTTAGATTTGACAAAACAATGATTAGAAACTCTCAGTTTAGTTTCTGTGAAACATCAAATCAGTGACTTGGGATAGAATTTTGGCCCAAATTATTTTTTAACCAGAAGAGTATTAAGTAAGATTTTGAGTTAGGACGAGACATTTGGCTCAAATATAGTAACATAGAAGATATGTAATTAAACACAAATGTATTATTAATAATATACAGTTTCAGTTCATTTTTATTCAGGACGAAATTCTAAAATGTAAAAATTGAATGATGTAAAGAGCTAATCCTATCCCTAATTGCAAATCAGCAAATGTGATGGCATTTTATATGGCTCAGCATGGTCTTTCCAACTGTTCATCCTTGGTTTCCTATGTTGTCCATATCTCATCCCTAGGTCTGGCAATGTGGAGAGATGAAATGTTCAATACAGAACATGCATTTAGATAGAGTGACCTCTTGCCCCACCGCAGTCTATTAGATGGAAATTGCCATATAAGTATTTACTAATGTCACAAACAAGTGAAACCCTTTCTAGCAACCTATGTTACTAGACATTTAAAAAGAGTGATACCCATGTCCAACACTTCAGATTTAAGTAGATAGTGTGTTGTAGGACAAAGTAGGGGTACTGCAAATTTCAATCTGGCAGTGGGCTTTGAGGGGTGAAGGAAGGTTTTTTGGTGATTAATGAAGAACAGTGATGGAGAAGCAAGTAGAGAGCTTGGGCCCACCAAAGAATGAGAAAGAGGTTAGAAAGAAAGAAAACTCTAGCTGTTAGAGTAAATAGAAGAAGAATGGATCACTTGAAAGAAGAAAAAGGTGAAAGAGGGAGAAAAGAGAAATTCCTGGCAACCACCAGAATTCACTAAACCAAGGTTTATTTAAAAAAATCAACTTTCTTTTTTTTTTAATTACAAAAACTCTATTTATAGACTTAATATAAAAAGTCAGATGTCCCACTGCAGACTCCAATTTGAATTAGGAAACTGACTCAAAACAACTTCTAACGACTTAAAAACTAAGATGAAACTTATAGGAACATTCAAATAAGGTCTCTTAACTGCTAAAATAACTCCAGTAACACCTTACTAATCTTACTATAACTTAATGCAAAGAAACTAAAATTATTAAAAACAGTAAATCTTGATTTTACAATGAATGGCGAGACAGAATTCATGTAACCAATCCCATATAGTTGGGAGGCTTAGAAGATGATGATGATGAGTAAATCATGATTTTATTTTGAATAGTAATTACAGGAATTACTACAAATAGTAAGTCAAAATTACCATAAATAGTAAATTCAGTTTATTAATAATAGTAAACTTTTGTAAGACTTAAAACCCTATTCTTAAGACAACTAAAGATTACGACATGAAACCCTATTAAACTTTGAGAGAATAATTTAACAAAGATTATGACTTGAAACAAGTGTATCAGAGAACCAATTTGGCTTCATATTAGGGATATCAACCATGAAAACTATATTTCATTATTTCTTTTGGGACACTTGATAGAAAAGTTCAAAGAGAAGAAGAAAGATTTTCATATGGTGTTCATTGATCTAGAAAAGGATTATGATAGAGTTTCTAGAGAGATAATATGGTGGGTCTTGGAAAAGAAAGGGGCTCAAAACATAGTTGTCAAGGCAATGCCTAGGCAGGCACCTAGGCGACAAGGCGCCCTTGGAGGCTCGCCTCACCTAATTGCCAAGCAGTTTTCTATAGTGTGTTAGAACTTTCATATTCTTAATTTTTTGAGGTTATAATTTTAAAATAGACATTTCTAAACTAAAATATTCATTTTGTGTGTTTATATACTAATTTCTTTTTATTATTTTCTTATTTGTTAGGGTTTAATCAACACAAACATTGCTAAATGCTGTATTGAACCYTGAAAGACTTCAAAACCTGAACCAATAAGTAAGGAAGAACTTAAAATGTTGTCTAACCAACACATTTACTTCTTTTTCTTTACTAATTTTGTGTGTCTATACTATATACCAATTTTCTTTTTCCACCTTTTCTTTTCTTCTTTTCCTATAACAGAAATAGGGGTTCAGCCCTTATATTTTTTTAAATTTCTTTTCTTTCCTCTTTCTTTCTTTCTCATGAATATGTTGGAATATGTTGATTTTCTATACTTGAACATGAAGTTTATACTTTTCTTATTTAAATTATGGATAATTATTAAGGAAATATGATTATGGAACCTAAGGAACTACCCTAGGATACATATTTTTACTTGAAAAAATCCATCGCCTAGGCAACTAGTTGTCACCTAGCCTCACCTTGGCGCCTTGAAAACTATGGTTCAAAATAGGTACATAGACCTAATTAAGGATATGTATGAGGGGGCAACAACCAATGTTAAAACACCCGCAGGAGAGATTTCTTATTTTACAGATACAATGGGTCTTCACCAAGGTTCAGCACTTAGCCTTTACCTATTTGCATTAATCATAAATGAATTGACTAAACATGTTCAGGAAGAAGTTCCCTGGTGCATGTTGTCTGTGGATGGCATTATTTTAATTGATGAAACTAATGAAGATTAAATGCAAAATTAAGCTTATGGATAGAAACAAGAGGTTTCAAAATAAGTAGGACTAAAACAGGATATATGACATGTAAATTTAGTAATAACAGGAGTGTAAATCAGAGCACACTTAGGATTGGAGACCAAGAGATAACTAAATATGACCATAGCTAGTACCTTGGTTCAATAATTCATAACATGGGAGAGATTCAGGAGGATGTCACCCAAAGAATTAGAGCATGTTGGGCAAGATGGAGGGGTGCATTTGGACTTTTGTATGATAGGCAATCAGGATGCAAACAGATCGGATCGGATTTGAACCGGCGTATATAATATATCTGAATCCGATCCGATAAAAAATCCATATGGTTTGATTTGAATTCGAATCTGTTGGATTCTTTAACCCTTGATTCGAATTTTATTTGGGTCATTTTATTAGATTTCAAACAAGGATCTGAATCAATATATATATCAGAACGGATAGGGGGTGATTTGAATTCGATCCAATTTCAAAACAGATCCTACTTTATGATCCGATCCAATTCGAAAATCCAACAAGGGATGTCCGAATTTGATGAAATCGGATCGGATCATGATCCGGTACGTTTGCACCTCTAATAGGCGAATACCACTTAGATTAAAAGGAAAATTCTATAAAACAGTTGTAAGACCAGCTATGTTGTATGGAGCAGAGTATTGGGCAGTCAAGATTCAAGAAACATGTCTAAAAAATGAAGTCATCCTTAGGCGATAAAATGAGAGAATAGACTAAGATGGTTTGGTCACATGCACAGAAGACCACCAACAGCTCTAGTTAGAAGAAGTGATTTTTACAAGTGGAAGGGGCTAGAAGAGCTAGGGGTGGACCAAAAAGGACATGGGTAGAAGCAGTAACAAATTATTTAAGAACTAATAATTTAACAGTGGATATGGCTTTATATAGAATGGATTAGCAAAACAGGATTCATGTAGCCAACCCCCTATAGTTGGGAATTGGAAACTGATTTGTTTCACTATGAGTTTGCTTCCTTGCTTCCATATCTGCATCATAGTGTCACGGCATAGTTGTCAAGGCAACTAGACGACTTTTAGAGGTCGCCTAGCCTAATGCCAATATGGTTTTCATATTACCCATGCATATTATATCGTTTTTTTTAATGCCCATATATATTTATATCATTTTATTGGATGGTTTTATTTAATTAACATACACCATGTTGTATGTTACATTTTTTTTAAGATAGTTCTTTTATTAGAATTGTGTATGTTACAAGTTTTTTGGGTTTGAGTTCTAAACCGAGACTGAGAAGAGAAGATAGAAAAGAGTCAAAAGACTGATGACTGAGAAGAGAAGACAGAGAAGACCAACAACTAAGAAGAGTTTCCATTGTTTCAACCGAGACTGAGAAGAGAAGACAGAGAAGACCGATGACTGAGAAGAGTTTTTAAGTCGTCCCATGCTCCTTTATTTTTTTCTTACGTTTTTTAAGAAATATTGTTGGAAACAAAACAGGGACTTCGCTGCCGCCTCCTCCTCCTCCTTCAAATGGTCCTATTATTCTTTTATTTTTCTTAGTTTTTTTTTTTAAATACTTTTGGGAACAAAACTGGGGCTCTGCCCCCTTCTTCTTCTTCTTCGTCCCCTTATTTGGAATGAAACAGGGGCTCCATCCCCTTGTTTTTCTCCTTTTTCGCTGCATTCAACCTTGTTATTGGCTTGAAATAGGGTCTCTGCCCCTTAAACACAGTCCCAAGTCGTCCTCTTATTCATGGATTTTTATTTTCTATTTTTTTAAGAAATTCTTTTTTGGGAACGAAACAGAGCCCCCTTATTTTTTTCTTTTTTTCTCACTGCATTTCCTTTTTTCCTTGGCCTGATACAGGTTATTAAACATTGAAAATAATATATTTAAATGATGTATTTATGATGGCATTTTTATGTTTTTATATGAAATTTCTAGTTAGTTACTCATTTGAATGGTTTTATTGCTAATAGGTAGTATACAGGTATGTTGGTTAGTATAAAAAACGAATAAAGTAGCTTAGGAGAAGTAGGAATCCTTAGATTTTATGCTTTCAGATTCCATAGCCTAGGTGTTGCCTAGGTAACTTGACAAATGACAACTATGTGTCACGGTCAAGTTACACCCAAACAAATACAACATAACAAAGTGGCCACTACTTAAGCTGCCATGTGGAAGTTTCTGGCGTAATCTAGATCTTTTGTTCTAGACAACTCACCTAACAAACCTCACAAAGAAAGGATCGAGGATAAACAATAAAAGAATAAGGTCAGATCCTTTAATTGCAAACCTCTACTGATATCCGGGAAACTTTCTTCTTTGATTTTCTCGCCGTGGAATTTGTTTGTTCAGAATCCTTCAGCAATTGGACCCCAATCATTTGAAGAGGCTTAACAGCTTCGGTTTCCTTGTCCTTAACCCTGTCTTCAACTGGACTTTCGGTCTGTTCAACTTCCTCCTCCTCTTCATCAACTTCATCATCTTCACCCTCTTTGGCAACATCCTCGACAACATCAGTGTCATTCAACATATCTTGAAGTTCTGAATCTTCAATGTCATCATCTGGCTTGTCATGATTACCATTTAATCCTTCTCCAAGAAAACGTCGTTTCCAGAATTCTGTATTTCCATCTTCCAACTTAATACGAGAAATTAATTCATCTAATTCCTCGTCAACCTGCAAGAAAAAGCATTAAGAATGATTTAGAATAAAAATTGAGCAAAAACATCTGAGTATGTCTCTTGACATCCAGGAAAGACAATAATAATGGTTTATAACAAAGTAACTCACAGAATAAGAAAACAAGAATATATAACCAAAAAAGTAGCATGTTTATTAAATTGCACAAGAAGAAAGGATTGATAAAGAAATAACTATTTACCTCTTCTTCTTCCTCCTCCACAGGTGGAACCCAAAGAGGCCGGCCACGTGAACGGTTTATCCTCCTTGCCTTTTGCACTCTCTGGTAAAGCACATTTCTAGTTCCGTCAGTTGGCAAGCCTTGTGCTTCTAACTCTTCCTTCAATTCAGAGACTATCATCTTACTAGCTGCCTTGGGCTTTAAAGCATTTTGGTCAGGACCTTTTATTATCTTCTTTAATCTTTCCTCTACTCTGAGATAATCAGATTCAGATGCATCTCCTAAAGCTGCAATTCCTTCATTTCTTAGGGTCTTCAGAAGCTTCCGATGGTACATCTTTGATTCCTCAAGACATCGTTGTTTGAAGGAGGTTTCTATTGGGTTTGAATAAATAAATCCAAGGGCATCGGGATCTAGAGGGGTCTTACCCCTCCGTGGAACCCACCGCTTGCGCTCACCTGTAAGCCCCCCTTCTTCTATGTACCTAATGAATTAAGAAGACTCTTAACTTCAGCAGAAAAAAAAAATTATACACTATTTAAGCATTAAATTATAAACTATTAAGATCTCCATCCAATTTAAGCATCAAGAAGAAAGAAACGATTACTACAGCAAGTAGCATGATTCATGCTGACTAGCTTGCTCCATTTTTGTAAGAATGCTAACCTTGAAGCCCCTCCTACTCTGCTCCTACCAGGTAAATAGGAGCTATAGGAATAAGATCATAGACAGAAAGATTTCATAACTATCCCCAAAATGACCTGGATGCCAATAAAAATAGGGAAAGGAGAGAGAGAGAGAAGAGAAGCTCAGTTTTTTTTTACTTAGTTTTTTGATCAGTAGCTGAAACTATATTAATGAGAAAAAACAAATATAATAAAGTACATGGGGAGAGGTACACACTCTTAACTCTCCCCAAGAAAAGGATCAATTACAACAAAGCCCAAAATAGACTTTCTCTTCAGTCTTCCCACCCCAAGATAAGGATCAATTACATGGGGAGAGAGAAGCTCATTTATCCTTTCAAAAATAGGCAAAGGGGAGGATAGGGGACATTGCTTGGTGCAAAGGTAATATCTCTAGCTGACAAGCATGAGAACATGGGTGATGTAGGACCAGCTCAGTTCTAGTCCTTAGAGAATATTTAATGGTCTTCTTTGATCAGAATTTTATGGTTGTAATGGCTTCTTGAAAGAATAAGAGAGAAAATACCTGGAATCACTCACATGGTGCCTAGAATCACTCTAGGGCATGGGAATCACTCACATAGTTGGCATAATCTGTAAAAAACTCAATAAACTTCATTGCACTTTGTGTAAAACATCCACACATATTTATAAATTCTAAAATCATAATAACCTAGGAGTCAAACTGTTAGACTCAATAATCCTAGTAGAACTCAAACTAAGCTGTCATATCCTATTTCAATTCAAAGGCTCAATAACTCTAATCCTACTTAAGCAATGACTCTGAAATTTTAAACATAAACTATAACTAGAAAATTTAAACCCTATCATTGGACCCCACAGAAAATTGCAAAATGACAAAAATAGCCCTACTGTCCAAAAATACAGAAATACATAAAATTTCATAAAATTCCAATTTTGACTCTTCAGCTCCTGCATCAATGGGTTGAGTTTGAGAGCAGCCACTTTGTCTGAGAAAATGCTTAAGGTTAGGTCCGTTTCCAATCCACCCATCCAAGACCCAAGATAGTCAGGATCAACATCGGGTAATAGCCCTTTTTTCCTTTTAATAAGAGAACATACCAGATAAAACAGAGAAAAAACAAAATGCCCCCACCAGAACATTTTGCAATGAATGTTAAGTGCTAAGAATATGCACAGAAGCATAGAAGAGAGGCATAGACACACTTGAGACAATTCCTTATAATAAAGTATTATAAATAGAAATGAGGGAACTATTTCATCGTGTTACCCATTACATATTAACGTAACATAATGGAGGAAAACCTTCCAAACTTGTTTATAGCAATATTTACATTAAAATACTATAAACATAAGTGTTATGAGATGACATACATTGATACATTTATAATACTTTATTATAAATAAATGTGTTACATTCATCTGAATATGAGATGGCATACTTGTTTATGTCAATATTATGCAATTTATGTGAATTGTTAATTCTGAAATTTTAATTTGTAACTTTGCAAGTGATGTATTGATAGCCAATGATACTTAATCAAAGAATGTAACACTTTATGTGGTGATACCTCATAAATTTCCCCTTTTTTTGAAGCAGGGAAATTATAATATCCATTAAAAGGAAAAAATATGTGCAACAAGGAGTTGTACATAGGGATTTATAAAGAATTGCCCAAGCAGACCTAAACCCCCAGACCCTGATTTACAAAAAAGATTCCTAACAGCAAAAAATGAATTAAAATCTGTCCTTAAACACTGTTTACTGTTAACCAAGAGAACATTTTCCCCAAAATTTTCTGAAACACCGTCTCTGGAGCTGTGCTGATTCTTGAAAATCCTTGCATTCCTCTCCTGCCATATGCACCAAAAAACTGCAGCAGGAGTCAGGTTTCACACCAACTTTCCCTCTTTTGTGAGGCCCTTGACTCTCCAACTCTTCACAAAATCTGCTACCGATTCAGGGCAGCAACTTTTCACCTCAAACAAGTTCCTGACCTTCATCCAAATCTCATAGGAAAAACAGCAGTGAAGCAACAAGTTACTGACAGAGCACATAAGCAGTTGTGTCCAGCAGCATACCCTTTGTTGTGGGACTTGACAGTATAGGCCTCGAGCCATTTGTGTTATGTCTTCCTATCTCTTCTTGGGCTATAATTCTGTTATTAAGTGTTAATGGGCTTGGGCTTTCTTATTTCAAGTTACTCCATCCCTTACTAATGGGGGGTAAAGTTGTAATCTTAAGTTTTTTAATGTTGCCCTAATATAAATATCATTTTGATGGGCTGGGTAGAGTTAAGCTGCCCTATTCTAAATTTCTTCTTCTTCTTCTTCTTCAAGGAGTTCTTCTGCTGGTTGTGGTAGGCTGAAGGATTTTTGGGGTTTGTCCTTGGAAAAACTCCAAGGAGACCCAGAATGGTTGCTGGTATGCCCAGGCAGGGCAAGAAACTATGGAGTAGACATATGGACTACTAGAAAGACCTATTTAACAGGTTTAGCCACTAGACTTCCAGTAGTATCAGTCCAGGTGTTTAGTTTTAGTAGAATGCTAATACAACCTGGGTCGACAGTAAGGAGAAGTGAACAAATTTCTCCTTTCTAGTTTTCCCTCTTTTTTCTCCTTTTCTTCTCTTTTCCTTCCCTTTCTCTTCCTATCTTCTCTTTCTTTCTTCTATCATTTTCTTCACCTTTTCTTACTTTATTAAAGTTGGAACATGGTATCAGAGCCTTGAGGTCGACTGTACTGTTCGCGGCACTGTTCACGTCTCAACTTTTTGTGCCCTAGGAATAGAGAATATTCTCTATTCTTTGTTGGAAAGGAAGAAGACTTAAGAGGACTGATCGCCCACTTGGAAAAGAGGCTTTAATGCCTCAAGTTTCAGTGTTGTGTGAGTTGGTTGTGTTTTTCTAAAAGCCCTCTATTCGGCAGTTCGAGGAGGGCAGCTTTGTGATGTTTCGAGTTATGAGGTAGGTGCTCCTCAATGTGTGGTGATTTTGTAGTGGTTTGTGTTGTGGTGACACCTTGTGGTAAGTATGCAATCTTTCCCAAGTGTTTCTAAAGTAGAGGACTAATAATTCTTGGTGTTTTTCCTAAAGAAAAAGGTATGTTACAGTAGTTGCATACTTGCATACCAGCTGTTTGACAGTTTGCCTAGGTGACAAATCAGTGATCTCCTCTCACTCATGGCTTTGTCAAATGGTAATACTAAACCTACAGTAGTTGTGCAATCAGATTCCATGACTTCTCAATTAACCACGGTGAAACTCAATGGTACTAATTATATCCCATGGGCCAAGTCGGTTGAGGTATCTCTCATTGCAAGAGACAAGTTGAAGTACATCAAGGAGGGTCCATTGAAAAGTGAATCAGAAGGGTACAATGAATGCGTACAAGAGAATGCCCAAATTATGACATCACTTTGGAATAGACACGGCCAAGGAGATTTGGGACCATGCCAAGCAATTGTACTCTGGACAAGACAATATCACAAGAATTTACCAGTTGTACCAAGACTATTTTTCTCTTCAACAAGGGGATAAAAGTGTTAAAGAATACTATGCTTCTCTAAAATGCTTAAAGAATGAGATCAATGTTTATCAAACCCTATCCACTGATTTGAAGACTCAACAAGAACAACGAGAACATCTAGATGTAGCAAGATTTTTATTTGGGTTGAGGTCTGAATTTGAACCAGTGCAGGCCCAAATCTTAGGGAGCAATGATCTTCCATCCTTGTCTAAGGTTTTCTCTCATGTAAGGAGAGCCTCAATTCCACATAGTGATCATCCCCCACCTTCAAAGAGATCAACCATGGTGGTTTTCAAAGGAGGTTTTCCTTAGAGGTGGAGGAAATGTGAGGGGTTTTGGTCGTGGGCCCAGAGGTGCACGAGGAGGTGGTAGAGAGTTTGGTGGTGCAAGGGGTGGTGGTGGTCGTAGTGGTAGTGCCCATGGTTCAGCCCATGAGTGCTCACATTGTGGATGAGAAGGTCACATAGTCAACTTTTGTTATGATCTTCATGGCCCTCCATCTTCCTAGGCTAACCAAGCAATGGTGGAAGGTGATTTTGGGAGTCTTAGTGTGACTAAAGATGCTCCTACTTCCAATGTTGGTAAGGATAAAGACACAATCTCTATCTCACGTGAGGAGTATGAAAAGCTTCACCATTCTGCCTCTTCTAGTTCTACCACTGCTACATTTGTGAAGTCAGGTACTGCTTGTCTTGCTTCTAGTTCTTCACCTTCACCTTGGGTAATTGATTCTAGACTCTAGAGCTTCAGACCACATGACTAGCTCCTCAAATATGTTTATATCCTTGTCACCACCTTCTACCTCTCAAACCATTACCTTAGCTGATGATTCTCCTTCTGCTATTACTGGTATCGGTAATGTGTCTCTTGGTTCTGACCTTAGTTTACTCTCGATTTTTTATGTTCCTAAGTTTCCCTTTAGTCTCCTGTTTATAAGTAAGCTTACTCAAACCCGTCATTGTTCAATAAAATTTTATCCTTCATATTGTGTCTTTCAGGATCTCAAGACGGGGAAGACGATTGGTGGTGGTCGTGAAGTTGGAGGACTATACTACTTGGATGACCATTGTCCTCAGAAGGCACTTCATTCCTCTCTTACACCACATCAGTGGCATTGTCGTCTTGGTCATCCTTCTTTGCGTATTTTGAAAAAGCAAGTCCCAACCTTGCAGTTTGTAACTCTGCTAGATTGTGAGTCACGTCAGTTGAGTAAACACCATAGAGAGTCTTTTGTTCCTAGGGATGATAAGAGAGTCCTAAGTCCTTTTGCTTTAGTCCACTCAAATG